GATTATGATGTGGATGTTTGTTTAAGACTACTGTAAAAGAAATCAAAGAATTTTCGATAATAGAAACTGACGGACTAAGACCGGAACCAAAATATATATGGATGATTAGACTGTAATGTTTTCCTTGTTAAACAAAAGAGAAAAATTAAAGATTGCTTGGAGCGGTAGCAAAAGTTAGCTAAAGGTTGCCGATAATCTAAGCTAATGATAGACAATTCTTGTTAAATAGAATAAATGAACTTCTGAAAATAAAACGTTAAGAATCAGGATCAGTTTTAAGAAGCCATGTTAATTACTTTTAAAGTACATTATTTACAACCATGACATGAACAAAAAAAAAATACCACAAATGCGAAAAGAAAGAAGAGAATAACGTATATATTTTATATCATTATTCAGTATTTACTTGAAAAAAGTACAAATTCCTAGGCCAAATATTTCCTGAACTCGAAGATTTAGAAGAACTGAGGGTGAACAGACGCATCTGTGAAGTTAGCACCCCAACATTGAAATTCCATAGTTCTGATTGCAGTTCCCGTTTTATTTCGTCGAAGAACAGTTCTCTGTAATTAATAACAAGAATTCCGCTTCATAACTATTTTTAAATAATTTTTCAAAATGGGATGCTAACTTCTCAGCGAAATTCGAGATCGAATAGTTCTGAGCGGCTCAATAGCATAATTTCGTGAATACCTAGAATTCGAGATGCAAAAAAATTTTTGAAAAATAAAAAAAGTTAAAAATTTTTGAAAAATCAATTTTTAGATACAACAGTTCTGATTAGAGTTCCTGCTTCCTTTTAACGGGACGAAGAGTACTCTGTATTTTTTAATGCGAGATTACGTTAATAACAATTTTTTAATAATTTTTAAAAAATGGGATGCTAACTTCTCAACGAAATTCGAGATCGAAGAGTTATGAGCAGCCTAATAGCTTTATTTTGTAAATATCTAAAGTTCCTGATACATAAAAAACAATTTTGACAAACAAAAAAATTAAAAAAAAATAAAGAATTTTTTAACACTTCTTGAATTTCGCGTATCTTGAAAACCGTTGGTCCATTCGCTTTGTCACCTTATATTTTTCGATAGAACTCGTCGAGAACTGCCCAAAACAATAGTCGGAACTGGTGGCACACTCATAAAATTTTTCGGCGTACGACTGGGAAAATTTTCAACGATAGAGCCCAAATGTCGCGTATTTTGAAAACCGTTCGTTCAGTTCGCTTTGTCACCTCATACTTTTCAGTAGAAATCGTCGAGAACTGCCCAAAACGATAATCAGAACTACTGCCACTCTTAAAAAATTTTTCAACGTTCTACTTGGAAAATTTTCAACGATAGAACTCAAATGTCGCGTATCGTGAAAACCGTTGGTCCAATCGCTTTGTCACCTGACACTTTTCGACAGAATTCGTCGAGAACTGCCCAAAACGATAATTAGAACTACTGCCACTCTCAAAACATTTTTCGGCGTCCGACTTGGAAAATTTTCAACGATAGAGATCAAATGCCGCGTAGCTTAAAAACCGTTCGTACAATCGCTTTGTCACATGATACTTTTCGATAGAAATCGTCAAGAACTGCACATAACGATCATCAGATCTACTGGCACTCTAAAAAATTTTTATGCGTCCGAGTTGGAAAATTTTCAAAGAGCTCAAATTTCGCGTAGTTAGAAAACTGTTCGTCCAATCGCTTTATCAGCTGATACTTTTCGATAGAACTCGTCGAGAACTGCCCAAAATGATAATCAGAAGTACTGGAATTCTCAAAAAATTTTTTGATTACTTTTTGAATTTCACGAATTTTGAAAATCGTTGGTCCAATTGCTTTGTCACCTGAAACTTTTCAATTGGATCATCGAGAACTGCTCAACACGGTAATCAGAACTACTGGCACTCTCAAAAAATTTTTATGAATCCAAGTTAGAAAATTTTCAATGAAAGAGCTCAAATGTCGCGTATCTGAAAACCGTTAGTCCAATCGCTTTGTTACCTGATCCTTTTCAACAGAACTCGTCGAGAACTATATAGAATTCTAATCCGCGAATTTTACTGGCACTCTCAAAAAATTTTTCGGCTTCCGACTTGAAATTTTCAACGATAGAGATCAAATGTCGCGTAGCTTGAAAACCGTTGGTCCAATCGCTTTGTCACGTGATACTTTTCGACAGAACACGTCGAGAGCTGTCCAAAACGATAATCAGAATTACTGCCAATCTCAAAAAATTTTTGATCACTTTTTGAATTTCATGTAAGGTACCTGAGCCGAATAAGGCTCACCTAATTTAGTTTATTTTTTTTAATTCTATTTATGGGGATATTGAAATAAATTAAGTGAGAATCAAATTTTCATTTGGTTCACTCCCAAAAATAAAATATATTATTTATATAGAATATATGTAAATAAACGAAAAAAAAATTTTATTAAACTCTCTGACATTGGGCTTTATCATATGCATATAATAAGGTCCAAATAAAAAATAAATTAAAAATAACAAAGAAAGTAAACATTTTCTTTCTAAATCAGTTTTAAAATTAACTGAAACTGAATTATTAATCATAGAAAG